ACTCGCAGATATCTGTCTATAAGGTCTGGTGATGACATATTTTTGTAATTCGAACCAGGAGTTAGCATCGCAAGGGCTGCCTTTGAAAGAAAGCACTGGGATTTTTCCATTGGATTTCAGAATATTGCAGAAAACAAGATATTTGCTAAATGCACGTTTTGTTCAGTAAAATAATCTCCATATATTAATTGCACTTTGGGATTTTTGTAAGCGTAAATGCAATATTTAGCAGTAAAAAGCTAACGTCAGGCCATAAACAAACTACATCATGGTCGAATTACTTCACGTCAACAACGCTAAGCTAAAGGCTCTAATGTTGAGTAGTCTCATTTAATCACTTGTTATCAACCACTGTTTTTATGATCAGGGAATAGGGAGTGGTAAATGCTAACTCAATTCTGGATTTAAGGAGGGATTCACATACCACTCCACTGTCTTTAGCGGGAAATATTACAATTGCCAATCATTCCCAGAATAAATGACTGTAGTAGTTTTATCGCCTCTGATCATCAATGATGATGGAAACAGGATGAAAATGTTTAGATTTTTTTGAAGCCATCAGACCATTGTAAGAGAACAGTCATCTTAACCAATCATAGAAAAACAACACTAACCAAATAAAACGTGTTGGTACACATAACACATTTCCTTGCTTCCTCTCTCTTCTCGTGGTTTCCTTGCATCTTAGTCCCTCCCACCAGGGATGCATGGAGAGATGTGAAATGTGTTATGTGTTCTCATTTTAAGAAGCATCAGATTAGGCATGCGCTGCAGCGTCCAATCAGTAAGCGATACACAGTAAGGGGGCGGGGCGAGTGGCTGAGGATTTCACCGAAGGATGGTCTGGTGGTTCCTCGGTTATCGCTCCTCCGGCACAAATAAGCGCCATGGAACGCTCGTACATTTCCCTCACTACATAGCATCCAAATTTGCTGTCCTCCATTACATCTGTGTCACTGAAAACAAGGATGTACAACTTCTTGTGACCAAGGTGCATAACCTTGTGACAGCAGATGGGTTCAATGCAGGCTCTCCATGCATCCCTGGGGGGAGGGACTAAGAGGCAAGTGAGGGAAGCAGGGATGCAAATTAAGAGAAGTGAGACGCAGCTTCAGTCTCTTAGCTGCCACACACAGCAGCGCTCAGTCAACTTTAGTTTATGAGTTTAGTTTCTCCTTATGTCTTTCTGTTGCTCCTCTTAAGTTTTGCAGCTTTGTTTCTTAGGTTACTTTATGCATTCACCTTTTAGTTTCGGGAAGTTCTGGGTCCTACGGCCCCTAGTGTGGCTGGCCCAGACTACCCTCATCTTTTTGTTCTCTTTGTACGTTCATCCAGACTTGCATAGCTTGATTTAGTTTAAAGTGGACCTATCATGCTATATTTAAATTATATATTGTAGGGCCACTTTTCAAATTTTGTCCGGAAGATTTAAACTTTAACGGACATCTTGACCGGCGAAAGAAAACCTAACTGAAACTCTGCCGCACGGTCCCCTCGTTCCTTGGAAGAGGCGGAGAGGTGGGTGTTTGTCATCTGCTGGTGGACTAACCGGAGAGAATTACAGTGCTTGCCTCATGGGGAGGGATTGCATTGAATTAAAGCAGCGGGAGCAACCGCTTGCCTCGGGGAGGGAGAAAGAAAGCCACAGCGGAGAATAAACAGAAGGGTAACCATGGCCACTTCTGTGACGTCATAGAAGTGTTCAAATCTGGATCAGTCTGTATCAGATCCTTTGCAGCCCCTTTTTTAGAGATTTGGGTATGGAGGAAAATAGAGAGGGTTGTGTTTTCTGACACTTGGTGAGTTCCCTGGAACACCGGGGACACATATTCATGTATAAAAGACGTACAAAAGTGCATTTTGCATGATAGGTCCCCTTTAAGTTATATTTTGGTATGAAAAAAGGTATTGTTGTAAACTCTCTCCGGTAAGGCATCAAATACATGTTGCAGGTCACAAACTGAGCCACTAATGCTTTATGTTGTCTTGTGGTCGTAACAGTTACTAACACTGCTTTCAACAGCATGTGTAATGTTGAACGTGACACACCAAAAAGAAAAGGCTTAAAGGTAGTTGTACTGAGTGTAGCAAGTATAGTACATCTACTGTAACAATTGTATAGGGGTTTAGGAAGTTGTTGTTTAAAAGCCAGCATGGGCCCAGAATTTCAACTTTATGTACTGCTTTGTCTGTGTATTGCTTCTTTATAATAAGTGTCCTCAGTCTTTTCAGTATGTCACTCAGTGTGCCAAACTAGAACTGCTACTACTGAGACACACCATTTAAACCTTTAATTAGAGCACCAACATGAGAAGGACAGCGAGGCAGAGACACAATCCCACTCTTTTCTTGAGCATTCGCATGCACACACGCACGCACGCACGCACACAAAGACAGTACATCAGGCTTACAGTCTCAAGCTGCTGCGACTTTGAATGAAGCGTGCCTCCCTCCTATTAATTGTGGCCCACTTATTTTTAATTAAAGTTTCTTTGTGTGGTTCCATGCTGGTAGCATGGGACAAGATGTTAAGTAGAAGACGTCTGTCCTCGCTCTGTGGTTTATAAAGACAGGCTGACAAGATATAGTTCAGTTAACCAATCGACTACTTACTGACATTCAGCAGATGAAGCCTTGCATTGTTAACTGTAGATACATCTCCAGGAGCAGATACAAATAAAGATAATGAAATATCTTTCATCAGTTTTTCTGGATTTAGCACTATTTACGCTTGAAAATAGGAATCCTATTGGCTTTTTAACTCCTCTATTTTGTATTTTAATGGTCTTTATTTTAAACATTTACTGATCTAATGCTACATCTCACTGTAAGCACATGTATAATGCTTGTCAGACTGTATCCTGACATATCTGCATTGAAACGGCCTATACACAGTAATTAGTGTATCATCACTGCTCCATCTGCCTCAGACTGACCTCCCATGTGCAAGGTAGGAAAGATCTTGGGCGCCCCCTACCAGCACAGAACATATCTCATTTCTCTTCACCCTCTCCTCAATTCCACCTTTGTGAGTGCTCTACAACTCTGTCATGGGCAATGACCTGGAAAAAAGGCAAACAAATGGAAGTGGAGACCGCACACTCAGCCTTTACTTACTGAGAGTGTAATGTATAAGGTGTGAGCAGGACTGAGATACTTTCTCTTTTCTCCAGACCCTGATGAATCTCCGTTTAGTAGGTTCCTTCAAGGGTCTAATTGAAAAGGGTTTTCCAAGATTTTGCGATTATGCAACTTTTGTCCTCCCAGTTTGGCTGCTTATAAGCATATAGTATAAATCATAACTTTAACCTGTTTCTTATTGAAAGCCAACTTAATTCTGAATTATTACCACAAGTGTTACTTGTTTGTTGGAATTTATGGTCAATATAACTAATTTACACAAAATTAAAACACATTTTAAAGCTAATATTAGGCACACATTTTGTATGGTTTTACAAAATTGGCATGCTATACATTTGAATAAAACATCCCTAATTCAAAGTAGTGATCATTATCTTTTCTAGCAAAACTGGACGAAAGCATACATGTTTTAGTTTTTATCTTCTATCACCCCTTATTCCAATGTAAAATTATTTAGAAACTCTTCAAATTTGACCTGAAGACAACAAAGAGGTCATGTGTCTTTTTTTACACTATTTAAGTTATCAAGAAACCAACTATTGCAATAGTATAGTTGTAGTAAAGCACTTTTATCAGCAGTGCTGCTAGCCTTTTCATCCTGTAAACAAATCACACAATTGTATAATGAATTTAAGTTGTGACCAGTCCAACTAGAGTCATGTTCACTTATTGCATCGTTAGTATTGGCTGACCTGGAGATGTAAACTGTTCAAGTATACCAAAAATAAATAAACTGTTCAAGTAACACAAAAATAAATTAGCTAGTCAGAAAAGCTTTGGAGAGCAGAAATATTTCCCCCCCATCTTCTATCGTGTTCATCATCTTGTGGCCCCTCAAATGTAAGGCCTCTGAGTCCCAGATTTAAGGCTGCTCTGAATTTTTTACTTACAAACTAGTAGTTAAGACAACCAATTGTAGTTGCCATGTTTTAATGTTTTGTTAATTTACCAAAGATGTTGGAATAAAAAGTGCCGTATAGAGTCAATGTTCCTCAAAGTTTGTACCCTGTGAGCAGCTCAAATCTTTTTTTGTGGGAAATATATATAAAGGAATACAACAGTGGTGTGCTATCAGCACGTGGAAACAAACTTTTACAGTAAATAATGCTGATTTTCAAATGTTTTGATTCCTTAAGGAATCTACACATTCAAAAAAACAACGTTTGACGTTATGAAATACAACTAAGAAATCAGTAAAGTTGCAAAACGTTTTTTTTATATATATAAAATGTCCTTTATCAAACGTATACAATGTAAATCAATAAAACAATGTTGATGTAAGTATTAATGTAATATATGGACAACAGATCTAATTGTGCAGACAGGTGTGATCTTCTGTCACGATCTGTCAGTGATTCCTGTTTTATTTTGAAATGTGGTCACCCCCTGTGTTATCTCTGTATGAACTTCCTTGTGTTTTCTATCCTGTTTGATTGTCAGATCATTGTCACCTGCAGCCCCTGTGTTTTACTGTCCTCTCCAGGTGTGTGTTGTCCTTGTGATTAGCTCTGCATGTATTTAAGTTCTGGTTTTCAGTCACCGTTTGTCAGATCCTTGTTTGTCGAACAATGGAGCGTTATGTTCCGCTTGTATGCCTTGCTCTGTTCTGTTTTGCCGGATTAGGCCCATCTGGTATTAAAGGTATTTTCTTCAAGTGATTTTGTTTCCTGCTCCTGGGTCCACCCTGCTCTACGTGACCGCTCCAGTGCTCACAGTTGTGTATATTTCATTCTGAAAATGTTAGAATTGCCTCAACTGGTGTCTGTTCCCTTGAAGATCAAGATATCATCCATTAAATGAAAAAAAATCTTGACCTTTGTTTAATTCTTGATTAAAAAGAATCGCTTCACACAGCAGTGCACAGTTTAAGTACAACTTTTATTAATACTGGAATCATCACAGTGCGTTTTGTTACATTAGCAGTGACTAAAGTTAACAAAAAAAGGTCAATTTTACAAAAAGGAAGACAGAAAAAGAAAACCTTATCATCAGCGACAGAGGCGAAACGACCTTGGAAATCAATTCACAATAAATTAAAGAAGAAGAGGGGACAGAAAGAAGAGAGAAAGACAAAGACCACGGTGCCTGCTGGTCTACGAGGGGGGGGGGTGAAGAGAGGAGCAAAAGATTGGTTTGTACAGAAACATAAAGCAGATGTTGACTGGGCCAAATTGGTATCCTTGGAACAAAATAGCCCCATAGAAAATGATATCAATGTCTTAATGGTGAGTTGTGGAGAGATTTCATGTGGAGGCTATAGAGGAAGAAGGGACAGAGAGAGAGAGCAAGCGAGAGACACTACTGAGAACTGGAGAACTGACAGAGATATTCAGTTCAGTCACTGTGGCACCGGGGGCCACTGTGGCCCCTCTGTTCTGCATGTCTATATGACAGGAAGTTACAACGTGTTTCATCATGATCCCTCAGAAGACCATAATGGAGCTTCCAAGAATCTACCTTAGTCACGTTTGCTTCAGACAACTGTGTGTGTGCTTGTTGGTGTGTGTGTGTGTTGGGTCTCTTCAGTTATAGACAGCAAAGACGATTGGCAGATTGTGCGTGGGAGGTGGGAGGGAGAAACAGTAGGGGTCTTAACCAAGTGTCCTAGTGCAACACACATTCATGCACACTCACATAAAGTACACATTCAGTATAACCTGGGCAGATGGCTTTGGGAGCGTGTTGTAATGCAGCATTTGAGCCTAAGGACCCTTTTAAATACCCCATATGTTGGTACCTTCTAAAGACTTTTAAATGTATTTGGTAAGGTATAATTTAAATTAAGACTGATATTAGTATTTAAATACCTACTTAGAGTAAGAACATTTTATATATTTTGTCTTTTGCTTAAGCCTAACCCTAACCCTAGCTCAGTTCCATACACTAGGGATTTGCCTATGTGAAATACTTCTCATTATAAATGCAGCTCAATCTGTCCTTTTAATGGTCACCACAAGGTCATTCTTATTTGAATCAGCCATAAGGAGCCTTAAAATATGTGTTTTTGTTTTTAAGAATGTTTGACAGACTGTGTTTTCTTGAAGGAAATCAAAGTTGCATTTCACACCGCAAAATAAGTCTGTTCTCAGCTAAATCTCCACATAGATTTGCATATGTGTTCCCGCTGCAAGCAAATGTCCACAATGGAAATCTGCCAATTTCCTAGTAAGTAACCAGGGTAACTAAGTTGTGGATGGACAACAAGTTGAAAAACCAATGCTTTTTAAAAACCCTCTTTTTTAACATTTACTTTGAGTGATTTGGTGATGTTTGGTTTTGAATTAAGACTTTAGAATCCTCCCTTTCATGTGCTACTGTTCCGTGACATTTTAACATTATGCTGTAATTGTCACTTGTGTCCATTTTGGCAGCTTTTCAAAAGAAAAGTTGCCTTTGATTTTTAGCCCTATTTAACACAAATACTAATATACTTGTGCTGCAAACACCATAAGATTTATTTTGGCGATGTGGGTAAAAATTCCTACTGCATGTTATTATACTGCTCCCCCTTGCGTCTTGTAGGTTTTAGAGACAGAAGCTCACCAAGAAACCATCAAAGTAATATAAGCTGCCTGTGATATGGTCCCAACAAGATGTCTTAAAAGGCAAAATTAATTAAAATGTAATCTAGTGCTATGATTGAGTGTCAGCTGAGTGCCTTGAAGCTAGTCCTGTACAGCGGGGTAGTTTACCCTAGCTAATGCTTCTGGCTCTTAACACAACACACGCAGAAACCACCAGTTAGCCACATACACATTTGAACTGTAGCACACATACTTACCAACCTACAAACACAGACATGGAGAAAGAGGAAGGACCAGAGTGAATGGGATATAACAGAGAGAGAAACTGAGCTCATGTTGGCTGTGGTGTGAATAAAGACTTCATCAGAATTATGTTTCATTAGCTTTGATGGGCTGCGAGGGACAAAGAGTACAGCCGCTGGGACTCAACAAATGTTGTTTTCTAACCTATCAGTCAGACGGCGTCCCTGGGATTACTGTGCCAGTGGATGGAGGTAAGACAAGAGTAAGATAATAGAGAGGAAAAGAGAAAGAGGGATAGATGGGTGTGAAAACGGTCTCCGTACATAATGTGAGTGTTCAAACAAATTTGATAGTAATTAGTAGATTCTGTACACCTCCAGGCTTTCAGACAATGGTGCTGCTGAGTTTTTAACCCTACTGTGTTCCTACAATGGCAATATACTAATCATATGAAGAGTAATAAACACCAAAAATGACAACTTGTATACAAATTACAAACCATGTGTTACCTTGAGTTCTTACAGAACATTTCTGTAAAGCAAAAATATATCACTATAAAAACTCTTGCAGTATTATCCAAGCCTTTTAGTTTAAGAACGTAAAGGCAGGCATTTTTCTCAAAACTCAATAGTAACATTGGGTGATTCATTGATATACAAATTGTCATTTTGTTTTAGAAGTATTCCTTTGGAGTAACTGGTTTTCAACTGGGTATGTTTTGGCACTTGGCCAAAAAATGAGTCGAATAGAAAAATATTTTCGTGTGGATTTAACAAACAAAACATAGCATGGTAATTAGTTTACTTTAGATCCTGGTTGATGTATTATGAATCATTGGGCTAGCCAGGCTAACTGTGCTTACTTATTGGTCGTAGGCTAAGCTAACCATGCCGTTGTAGGTAGCTCAAACTATTCCTTTATCAGTTTGACAGTTGTAGTCGTAGGTACTTGCATAATAACTCAACAGCACTACAGTCTGTACAGAAACACAGTATTTTCTGAAGTCATTTTATTCAAGTGTGCACATGGCATGTAACTATCATGTTTCATGTGTGTACTTATCTAGATGTTGTCAAGATAAGAACTTACAATGCTGCAATATCACTGAATGTCGAGATGGGATATTTTCAACTTTTTAACTGATTTAAAAATTATGAAATGTAAATAAATATATTTTTACAGTGCTAGTTCCTTTTGAACATGATGTACAGCAGTTAGGCCTGTGTAACTTGTGTATACACAGGCCTAGTTTGTGTAGTTTGTGTATATCCTATGACGTGTTTGTTCGTGTTGTACGCACGCATGCCTGCACGCATGTACATCTGCCGATATGTTTTTATGTATGTCTGTTTCATTGTAGCCAGTAGACCTATTTCTACCCACAAACACATACTCGTAAAAATGGGCATAATGATATATGTGTAGCAGAGTAGTAGTTTCAGCTTGATCAGACAGTTAGTTCAGTACACAGTTAATTCAGCATGTTAAAAAAAGACATTATTGTTTTAGTTTAGATAACTTTTTGTGCTGTTAATTTGGCATTTTAAAGGAAAATAGCAGTGTTGTACACTCATCTCACACTCATCAAAGGCCAGTGTGTTCAATATGATCTGACTTTTTCTCATCTGACTCAATGTGAAATCCTGCTCTTATCCTGAGTTGTAATCCATCTTTTGGAATTAAGCAGCATGTCTGTTTTGCAGGGAATTATAAACGCTTTAATCAAGCAATGACTAATATAGATAACTGGCAGTGAATTCAATGTGCACTAGAATGAATAAACATACAGCACATACGCATTCAGACTCTTGGAATTGGCTCTAACAGTGTCCTTGGAAATATAGTGAAGGGTAACTCTATATCATCCCATTGAGAGATGGCAATGTGATATAGCTTTAAGATGGTGAACCAAAACAAAACAGAGCTATTTTCCTTTAACATACCCACACTTGAATGTACGCACATGCACACTACCTCTGTATTGCTTTCCTACTGTTTAAACTTCATTCAGTTGTACAAGAACAAAGTCATGACATTGCAATCATTCAAGCAAGTCAAACACAAACAGTTAAATGTCCCCCCTACACATTGCAGTACATTCAGCATCCATACCTATATTCATGTACACTTTGACTTCCATTGGTGGTCTTACAGATGAACAATTTCTCTTTTTCTTGAGGGAGGTCCTCTCCCCTTCTACCCTCTCACCCAGCTGATACAACACACATCATCCACATGTGAAAACACACACACATTGTGTTTACACATTTTAAACATTATCCTCTCTCACCCTTTAAATTGAATTATCATTATATTATTTTTAAGGGCCACAACTATATTTAAAACAGTTCAGAAATAAGTTAAAAATAGGGCATTTACTATAAGAGTGCTGATGCCTTCTGTTAGAAGAGCGTACAGACGTAAAGAGTTCACCGACCAAACAAGGACACACTCACACTCGGCCCACCCATCCTACATCCACATATGACACAGCTTAATAGTTTGTGTTACATGTGGAGTGATTTCTTATTCTTTTACATAAAATAAAATTAAGACAAAATATTCAAACAATACTGCGGAATGAAAAAAGAATAATACCGAAACTGAAAATTCAATGTACATTTTTGTTTAACAAACCATTAATGCCAAATATGCGCGCCTGATTCTCATTTACAAGTACAACACATATTGTATGAACAGGCAGTGAAATGCTCATTGCTCTCGTCCTCTCTCCGTCAGTTTCTAAAGTCTAATTTAACACTCCTGCTTATTTGTCATCAGAGAGCGTATCAAACAGGCTTCACCTTTTTCTTCACCACATCTTCAAGTCCATAAATAATCCTTTCATGCAGTCGTGTCCTGAGCTGAACTGAGTTATTAGCACTAAGCTAAGCTAAACTGGGATAGAAACACTTGTGCTGTGTCTCAATTTGTGGACTTCCGTATTGTGAAAGTATGGCAGAAGTGCACTATGAATGCCTGGTTGTTGTACTTATAACAGTCAAAAAGTGACGTGTGGAACACTGGATAATTCTTACCCTCAATAATAGAATAGAATAGAATTGGAGGGATGAAACCCTCTTCCTGGTACTAGGAGCAGTGGTCGCTATTTTGGCTATCTAGTCAAAGGGCAGTTACCACCAGACTTGCCAATAAGGTGGCTAGATATATTTCCTGTTGCAATATACGATCAAAATAAAAAGGGATGTTCAAATGTGAGTCAATTTAGGTTACTTCACAACAGCTGTCAGCTTTGAAGCAACACAACACTGTTGAAATTCAAGCACTACACAAGTACATGGCACTAATGGAAGTATCCAAATTGAGACACAGGTTCAGTTAAAGGACATGATTAGTGGCACTGTATGTACTGTTTGTGACTGAAAACATGCTAATCTAAATGTTAACGTTTAGCTTAGCATTACATACACAAACAGGGTAAATCCCTCAATTAAATAAACAGTGTTGGGCAAGTTTTATTTTTTTTCAACTACACATTACCGATCATCAAAAGCACTGAGTTTAAAATTCTGTTTACCTAAAGATAAATCCTATCTTCAACTAAAGGCGTGGCCAAAGCCAGAGCTGCTAACTGCTAGCTTTCAGCTAACCACTGCCCAACACTGTGCAACTAACTGCGTGCTCTCCCTCAAAGTCATTTTTTGTCTACTATGGTAACATTATTGCAAATATGATCCTCTGTACGATATATTACCTTTGTTGTATGGTGTCCTTATAAATAAAACTTGAGGAGCCAATCTTAGGCAAAAGGCTGCTGCTCAGCTTTTTCATAATGCAAAGATATACAGTATGTACAGGTAAGAACACATTTGCGGATAAGCCAATGTACTGATATCTATTTGCACATGAACTTGAGTGAATGCTATTTTGTAATTTACCTTACTTTGGACATTAGAAATTAGACATTTCCATAATCAATTTTATGGGCTGACTGTTTTTGTCATTCAGGTCGAGTGACCTTCTAAAGCCTATATCCCAAAGTACTCTCAACTATCTGTGCTGTGTATATTTTGCAATATGTGTTGAGTGCAACCACTTAATTCACCATCCACAGAAGCACAAAGGCTTGTAGAACCCTGAAGAGCTCTGACGTTCAATCAACATTTTAGATAAATATTTGTGCCCAACTTTCTCATCCCTGCTCTTCTTCCACCAATTACTTCAATTCCACCGGTCTTTATCACTTCCTCTTTGTCCCTCCCTGTCTTCTATAACACATTAAATAATATCCCTCCCTATTATTGGCAACCATCTCTTTCACTTTTTCTCTCCCTTGCATAAGGTATGACTACAGCAACATCTAGCAGCTATTGTACATACTCTACCTTTCAAAGTGCTTTACAGTTTGAGCGTTTTTCAACATTTTTGAAATCCATTTCCTCCACTAGAAAGAAAAAGCGACAGAGAGAGAGACACACCAAAGTGGTGAGGCATGAATTCACAGTCAACATGTAATTTAGCATTCCTGATGATTGCCTGAATGTGATAAAGGAGAACCCACAGTCCTCCATTTATCCTCTTCTTAGAAACAAGAAAATAAAACACATTTATTGCTCCATTTCTGATTTAACATTTTCTCTCTGGTTCTAGAAAATATATATGAATATATCTATACGCCTGGATTACTTCTCGTACAGTTGTAACAAGGTAAATGACGTCACGATATAAACAAGAAAATACAGGTACAACACACAGGAGAAAAGCCCTGCCCTCATTGGGTAACCAGCTGTCCTGCAGCAGAGCTCTACCCACCCCCCTCGCGCACACACAAACAATCAATCACGTGCACACACACTCGCCTTTGCCCACATGCATACACATGAATGCACCACACACACAAGAGAGGGGAAGGGGGAACTAGCACGGTTCAATGCCAACAGTATTTTTTAAACACTCTTTTACATTAGGATGAACCAGAGGGGACCTCTGGCCTGTTAGCTCCCCGTGCTAATACCAAAGCTAAAGTTCAGTGGGCTAATAAGTACAGTATGTCGCTGCTGAGATAGCCTGGGTTCTAATCCAGCTGGTCACATGGCACTCTGACCCCCCCTCTTAATCACCCCCCACAGGGACCTCCATCAGTCATTAGTCTTTCATCTAGGAGTAGACAGTCGGGTTAGTTGGAGAAGAGGATGGGGAAAGGTGTAATTGACAAACAGAACCCAGTCTTTCTCTCTTTCTTTGCCTTTTTTTTTTTTTCACGTATCTGTTTTTCGTCCCTGGGTGAAGGTGTAAAGAAGACAAACATGCGTCCAACATACACTAGTTATAGTGGCCTGCTAGGAGCCTGTCAATATTCAGTATTTCACTTTTATTTGTCACCATGAGTTAACATCATTAATGTTATTATTATCATTATATTATATATCATTTACTCTAATGGTGTCATTAAACTTTTTTTGTGTATGTTTTTATTCATTATCTGTTATATTATAGCTTTCCCTACATAGTTAAGTGTTTGTGTATGTACTAGGCTGTTGGGTTGCACCACACCAACACCTGACTCCCTATTGGCTGACAAGTATCATCTTATTCCTGCTTCTCCTCGAATCACAAGATACGTGGTGCTGAGCGGTCATTGGATACGGTCTTGCGGAGACGGACCCCTCTCCTGATGGTGGTCAACATGTCGCCGGACCCTTCTGCCCTCTCTATCTCACTATCGGTGGGGCCGGTTGGCTGCAGGGCCGGGTCATCAGGGAGGGCGGGGAAAGGAAACTGCCCTTCTCCAAGGGCGTGTGCACTGGCAACTAACTCGCCGATCTTTTCCACTAGGCTGTGCCGATTGGCCGCGATCATTTGATCCTCCTCTGACCCGGCCCCTGAGCCTGTTCCCATGGCAAGGCCTCCATGCTGCTGGGTGTAGATCTCTAATGCCGCCCCTGATCCCCAGGCGGTATTAGGCAGGCTGAGGCGCTTCGGTGATGCCTTCACATAATCAAGCGCTCCCTGTGCATCCTCAACTCCAGTAAAGAAGACACACTCCTCACTACCCACACGTACAGGCACCCCACCTGAGTGGGCTCCACCTGCGTACCCACCACTTGCCCCAGGTGAATGTGAGTCTCCTGGAACAGTTGGTGTCTTGACAGGCACAATGGGTGGTCGGATTGGAATAGGCCCCGCGCTGGACAGTGTGCGCCTCACGCCCGGTTTCGTAGACGGGGTTCGGCGGATGGTGGCAGTGCCTGGAGTACCTGAACCACCTCCCCCGGATATAAGATGACCCCCAGGACCTAGAACCCCACTGGGTAGTCCGGCTGTGCTCGCTGGTCTCTTGGTCTGGATCATGCGCCGGTAGTTCTGAGCGATGTTAGAGTGGCGAGGAATTGTGGAGGACTTGTCAAACTCTGTCTGGCCATCTGCACCTTCAGCATCACCATTCACTGAGTAGCAGTCATAATCAGAACCTAATGTGGGGGGGTAAGGGAGAAAAGGGAGACAAGTGATTGAGGATCACAAAGAAAAGACAAGAAAGACAATTTATTGTGGTTACATTATTGGATAAGCACAGGAATAGCAACATTATAATGGTATGCTATTTTGATAAAAGATGCCTGAAACTGACAGCCAGTCTTGAAATGCACAAACATTTAATAATATTCAATTTAGTCCTGACATAAATTGTCATCTCCCAGCTACTGTCAAGGAAAGTGTCAGAACTGTCATACTGTGCCAGCTGCTTGAATAATTAAATGGGTGATTCACTTTGTTTGATTTTGGTAGCTAAAGTCGGTAGCGGTGACCCAGCAGGCTTATGCCTACACTAACGGTAACGTGAACCAAGACATTTAAGATGGACCTAGTAAATTAAAGTTAAAAACGGTATCTTGCTGTTTTATGCAGCACAAAATATGTTGGCATCAATTTCCGTGAAGAGGTTGGGAACATGATGCCTCAACAAATGATTTCCTCTACATTGATTTAGCACTAGAAGCATTTAACACCGGATGGATATGCTAGCAATGCAATTACCATGTTTCTGCAAGGAGTGCGAGAAGTTCTCATGACCCTTATGACATTTGTTTACCAACCTAGTATACGTGATCTGAGAAGGCAGTTTTGTAAATCACTAGCAAAATAATCTGATATTGGATTGATGAACTCTAGGAAGGTTGGGCCATGACTTGAGACTTTAGCAAAACATATATTGCTGTTTGAAAGAAATTGGTAATGCCCTCTTTCACAGGTAAGAGCAAACATGGACAGGAATCTGAGGAGGGGGTTACATGTAACAGACCAATTGCAGGTGTAAGAATTAATCTAGTGGTTTGATTTCCTTGCATTTCTGAGAAAGCTGGTCAGTGAGTGTGGGCTGGGATGGCGCAGGACATTTTATGTTTAAAATCAAATAAGAATCAATGACCCCATTAGGACTTGCAAAGAGCCAGGGTTCTTGGACACAACTGTGCAATTGAAAGTAGTATTCAGTCCCTCTTGGTGGCAATATCTAACTTCTTTCTTTTACCATAAAAAAGGGTATGTGTACTCACTAAGAAATCCGTCGTTGCTGAAATTGTGGTTGCATGTACTTGAACCTTTTTTGCAGCTAGATGTTAGTGATTTTCCTACAATTGTACCATGAATAGGATGCACTTTGCCAACACTTTTACAATCCTAGTTGTGCTGCTTTTCCTTCACAAACTTCAAAATATGCCTGGTAGAATGTCTTTCATAACTCAAAGCTGTCAAAGTTGCTGTACTTATGAGTGTAAAGCATAGTAGCACTTTCCTAAAAGTGTAATCTCGAGGACAAAAAGAGGTTTACATTTTTTTTTGAAAGACTGACAGGTGACGTGGTTTGGTTTCACAGCCGACAGTTCATGTTGTATAGTTCTTCTGTATTGTGCTGATTGAACTGACCACTGCATTATGTAATTTGCAGGTTGGTGTATTGTTCTTTTTTGTGAATAAAGTTCTATTTCATCAGGCTCCGACTGCCTCCAGCTATTTATCCTGAACCTGTTAAGAGGTTTTGGTTCTGATTTTTCCATTTTTTTCTAACACATTTTGAGACATCCATACTGTGTATCCATCTCCAATTGTTGGCCATTTGCACTACAACTCTGCTTTTACAGCAATAGTTGCAGGCAATATCAGGATTAATCATTGGTAAACTTGCACTGTCAGGCAAAAGGTGTATAGTAGATTAGAGTTTCACCTTGGGAGGGGATTGTGTCCTCAGAGCAGGATGGGGTTGTAGTCTCTGTGCTGTAGCCACTGGAGTACTGCAGAGAGTCCCTGTTGCTCTTCTGCTGCTCCATACTCAGTCCTCTGGTCAGAACCATGGCCAGGTCACTGGCTGCTGGAGAAACCTCATCTCCATGCTGAGGACAGAAAGAGGAAAGATTAGAATGGTGTTTAAACACAAACTTTGTCCCGATCACATGTCAGATAAGCAAGTCAGTTTGGCTTAGGCCAGTGGTCACCAACCGGTCGATCGCAATCCAAGCAGGCAATTCATGTGATGATAGTTCACAGTTCCCGATAATACTCAAACACAAAAAATAAAATGACAAATGTAATTCATGTCGGCAAAACCTCTTCTAAAGCTTAGTTATACATTTTTCCCAAACTTACATTTATAATGAAATTGAAAGTTTGAACAAATGTTCGCATATTGTTAAAACTTCAATATTTTTTGTATTTAAGACAATAATATATTTAGTCATCCTCATTAATTAATTAAGTTTAGTATAACGCTTGTCAGCTAGACTAGAGGTAACAAACATTATGTCCCCAAATTATATAACGGAAAAACTACTCACTTTGGTGAAAGTTGAAAAACAGTATAATTCCCTAAAACAACTGTATCTCTGAAATATACAGTATTCTTTACTAAATCACACAAATGTATTCAATGTGATCCTCTTTTATTCACTCCCATCCATCCAACATCCCCTAGAGCTCTTTGAAACGGAAGCCCAATGTGCTCTGATTGGTTAGCTGGCCGGCTCTGTTGTGATTGTTCAACCGCTTAGGAACTCTTAGCATATCATGTGTTACGGAAGTAAAAAAAGGAGTCCAATTAAGGCGTTTCAGATAGTGTGTCAGCGTGTGTGGGAGAGAAACTCCCTCTGGAGGGAACACAGGGATTTAAAGGTCCCATGTCATGCTTTTCTGGTTATTACCCGTCCCCTTGTGTGTTATGAAGGTTTTTATGCATGTAAACGGTCTGCAGAGTCAAAAACCCTCAAAGTACACCCTGTAGGGAGTAAAACTCTAACACAGAAAAGACCTCCCCAAAACGCCTCGTTGGAGATTTCTCATGTTCTTCCTGGGCATCGTGACGTCTGGATACCCAGTAGCCACGCCCAGAGCTATGACGGAATACAGTCATGCGGTACCCGGAACCAAATGGACCAATCCGTGGAGCCGTTACGTTACGTCCGCGGAGCCGTTACGTTAAGCCCCCGCTGATTGGTCCAAATTGACCAATCCACGGACTTCCTCACACACTCAGCGCAGGCAGCTCTGCTGATTTCTCCTCCCTGGCTGCAGGCTGATAACAGACAGTTGGGATCGCGGCAAAATTCTCTCTGCAGACCCATTCTCACAGCGTTTATCAACCTTTTTCTTACTCAATATCAAGCCACACTTATTGTTTTTACTTCGACTGTGACTTTGTGTGTGCTCAGGATGAGTTTGGCTGTGTATCGCTAAACAAAACAAGGAAACCACACCTCCACGGAGCTCAGCGCGATTCACAACGTCCCGACCAATCAGAGCACACTGTGCTCACAGGTAGGGTGGGGGCTGGAGCTATTGGAGCTCCAACGAGCCGTTAAAGGCAGAGAGTGAAATTCAGTGAATACAAGTAGTTTACAGAGATGCTGTATGAGAAACCAATGTGAGTTTGGAAAATTGCACAATATAAATGTATTCTAGTAGACCTCAACAATGGAATTATGATCAGTGGAAATGGCCATGACATGGGACCTTTAAGCCTCTGCAGACCATTTACATGCACAGAAACCTATATAACACACTACAGGAAAGGGACGGCCCTAAGAAGCTAAATAGGGCCTCTTTAACCTGTTAAGCCCTGAGCCTATTTTTCAGGCCTCAGGCTCGAAAATGACATGCCCAGAATGAATGACTACATCTTCACTTCTAAAAAGGGCCATGAATAATCTTTTTTATCAAAGCAATGATATTGCAATGTAAATTCTAATCTCCGCCTAAAAAAGACCCATTATTTATAGTGAAAACCACCCTTGAATGATGGAATAGTAGCCCAAAACCTTTAGGGATCCAAACCACAATATATCACAAGTACCCTGTGTCAAGATTGATGCTAATTTAGTGAAACTTGAATTTCTTTTTTTTGGCACAGGCAGGTCCAGGCGGACTCACCTTTGGGTACATTTGGTTACCATCAGTGCCATTTGACCTTTCTCAGGTACCACACTGTAAAACTCATTTTATTTAATTGAAATATCACTATAGGTATTCATTCCATCCAAATACAACTGTATTTTGACCTTTTTGGAAAGTTCAGCCTGACCTCTATGCCCTTTTTGGCCACATGCGTAATGCTGCGCAGGCTGCCAGTCAGACCTATGCATTACACGTGCATTACGTATGGCCGTATCTCTGGAACCCATTGGTCAAAGTGGGTGATTGACACCTCTTTGTAACCATTAGAGCCAATAGAATTGAGGGGCGGTTCATAAATCATGTAAACATTACCATTGGTCAGTTAGAATGACGCACACACATGCCCTAAAGCTGACGCTCCGGACTGCTAACCAACACTAAGAAAGTGGATCACATCACTCCTGTTCTGAAGTCTTTACACTGGCTTCCTGTGTGTCAAAGAATAGATTTCAAAATACTGCTGCTGGTTTATAAAGCATTGAATGGTTTAGGCCCAAAATACATTTCTGACCTCCTGCTAAATTATGAACCATCCTGAACTCTCAGGTCTTCAGGGACTGGTCAGCTTTCTGTCCCCAGAGTCAGAACTAAACATGGAGAAGCAGCGTTCAGTTATTATGCTCCAAATATCTGGAACAAACTCCCAGAAACCTGCAGGTCCGCTGCTACTCTTACTGCTTTTAAATCCAGGCTGAAGACTTTTCTTTTTGCCGCTGCTTTTAATAGATATAGTCATATCTTAAACTGCACTGTAACTTTTATTATCTTTGCTTTTTAAATTAGCTTTTAAATGAGTGGTTTTAAATGACATTTTATATCATTGCTTTTAAATGAGTGTTTCCAGATATCATTTTATAATATGTTTCGTAATGCTCTTAATGTCTTTCATTTTTGTAAAGCACTTTGAATTGCCTTGTGTTGAAAGGTGCTAAATAAATAAACTTGCCTTGCCTTGCCTTTGCTGTTTTGTGATCAAAAGTTGTGATCAAGGGCATAAAAACACTGTTGAAGGTTAATCCAATGTCTCTGTGTCACTTTGAAATGATTACTGATAATCTATCATTACATTTATGGCAATAAACGGCTTAGCATGGTAAGCACTTGAGCAGCGGCGTTCTGAATCAGCTGCAGCTTTCTAATGGCGCAGCGTGAGAAAAAAATAACGAGAAACAGTGAAATCTAGCTAGTTAACTCCAGCTAACTTTATGCGAGCGGCAACATGGATCGATTTTTAGTGAAGTTACCTAAAGTGAAAGAGGAGACAGCGTCTGGCAGAAAACGTCACTTGCACACTTTTGGCTGTCTGTGGAGACCGAGTTCCCCCACCTCGCCAAAAAGGCTGTAAAAGTGCTCATTCCCTTCACCTCCGCCTACCTGTGTGAGTGCGGGTTTTCCCCATTGACTTTGAACAAAAGCAAGTACCGGTCAAGCAGGGGCGGATCTACCGGGATGGCATGGTGTGGAAACTGCCACCCTAAAAATAGCCTTGCCACCCCAGCTGCCACCCCAGTTGGCAGCTTTGTTTTGAAATAAAAGTTGTGGCTCATCGGACAATGAGAGAAAATCCCTAATGTCCGAGTGCAAGTGAGCACAAGACGCGAGCCTTGTAACCCCTCCCCCAGCCCTGGCGCGAGCGAGGAAATGTGATTGGCGACGATTTCATTTGAACGGGACGGCGCATTCGGACCCAAGTACACGGAAGGAATGAGGTATTTGCGGTCTACAATGACAGAGAAGAGACTGTCAAGTTTGGCTGTACTCAGCATTGAATCAAAACGCACTAAAGCTTTAGATCTTAATAAGTCTGTGAAGCGTTTTGCTGAACAAGATGGTAATCGCCGCATTCAGCTGTTATAGGCATGCCAACTTAATGCTCTGCTCACGGATGACTCGATGAGCATAAAAAACTGTTAAGATGATGACCTTACATGTGTAAATATATTTTTTTTCTTTGTGGGGGTCTGCCCCCAAAAAACAGTTTTAAGTCGTGAGAAAGTCAAATAAGACGGTGTGTAAAACTACACTGCCCAGCCAAAAAAAAGTAACCACTTTGATTTAACTAGGCCAGTAGGTAAGGACATTCCACTGGATAATAATACCCCTGCATTATAGCAACAAGAACAATAATAATAATAATAATAATAATAGCAATAATAATTGGGAGCGGGGGCACGGCTGTTCTTATGTTCTCTGAGGGGAGGCTCACCTTCCCACACTTTGAAAACCCCTGGTTTAGACGATTTAGACGCTTGGTGTTGGAATTGTGTTCCGTTCAGGTAAAAATTGTTAATATCGTCTGTTAGCTGAGTTTCTTCCTGTTAAGTGGGTATGCATCAATAATAGGTCGTTAAATGTTAAGAAGCCCTGAGACGCCATTTCTTGCAAGATGTTGCGTCTACCGGGGGCCAACAGGTCTTGGTTTTGCTACACACTACTCTTGACAATATTGCATATAAATATAGTGTATGAATACATTTAATACACTTGTATCCTTGCTTTTCGGCGTTACCTTGGCAGCCATGTTGGCCGGTGTCATCCTGTGTCTCTGCGCGTCCTCGGGCTGAGTAGGTGTGGCGTATCCCTGGGAGACCGGCGACATCTCGTTCTCCCTCAGTCTATCAAGCGGTTCCTTTCTTCTCTGAACTACCGCTGCCGCCCCTGCATGCTCGTACTGACCTGCTTTGGACCAATCCTGAAGAGGTGAGTCAAATTAAGAAACAGGAAGTAGCAGGTAGGGTTAGCACGAGAGACTTGTCCACTATCCAGCAGTTTGAAGCCCTTCATCTGAGTGCAGAGAGAGGGGGCCTTTACGGGTGGATTGTGTGGGAGTGCTTGGAAGAGCGTGGGTGTATGTGGGCAGGGGGCTTTTTGAGTATTTCCGTGTTTTTATCGTGATGAGTTGGAATGGCCGGCTTTCAACACCCTGTTTAGTTTTGGAAAATCTCCAGACCCCAGATTGCAAAACCATCGACAGGGGAGGCCAAAAAAAAAGTACACACAATAAGTTGGGATGAACACAGGAAGCAAAGCAATGTGGTTACGAATGAGTTAAAAAGGTGATGAAAGTGAAAATAAAAGGCATTAACTGAAACGTATGAAACAGAAACAGAAAAAACAGTGCAACTGAAAAAATGGAAGCGAATGGAGAACAAACCTTCCACATCGGAACCTTTGATGTGGGAGAGGAGGAGCTGGATCCGGGGGGGGCAGTTATAGGGTGGGGACGAGGCAGGAAGAATGACAGAGAGTGGCCTGGGGGAGCCAGAGTGAGAGAGAGCAGGGCGGAAGGTAGCGAAGGACGTGCCAAACTGCGGGATGAGAGACATAGTCACATCATCAGAGAGAAACAGAGACAGAGTTGGCCAGCTGTGGTGGACGATCGCTGGGCCAATCACAGGAAAATAAAAGCATCATACACACATCTACTCTACAGTAGCCTCACACACCAAGTAAGAAACATAAGATCAGGGACGCGTCTATCTTTTTTTCAACCCAGTTTAGATTCGACCACGCCCACTTTCGCATCGACCTAGCTCTTTCTCATGTTTAGTTTATTGTCCATGTGTAGAATTAGGTTTTTAAGTTTAGTCATGTCTCATTGTTCACTCTTTAAGTTAGAGTCACTTATGTCTAGCCTTGTTTTGCTCTGTGTCATTGCGCTTCCTGTTTTATTTTGTACTTACCTTTCCTTCTCGTTTCAGAGCCTTTGACTTTCTGCCATTGCGTGATTTCCCACCATTGAGATTGTTAACCCCACACATGATTGTTGCCACCTGAGTCCCATTACCTTTTGTATATAAAGTCCTCGTCTCCCTTTGTCCTGTGTCAGTTTGTCTTCTTTCAATGTGTAGTCAAGAGAGCCAGCGTTTGAAGCCAAGAACCTTTGTTGTTATTTCATATAGTCAAGTTTATTTAGTCCTATGTTTTGGCAGTTTGCTTTTGCTACGTTTTGCCTCTAAAATAGTTATTTTTTGTTGTACTAGACTTTAGATTTGTTCCCTTTGTCTTGAGTCATGCATTTGAGTATTTGTGTCACGTTCCTAACATGTCCCTATCTGAACAACTTATATCACTTTGATCCAAGCTTGGGAAAAATGCAACTGGCATTGCAGTCCCTCCAAGCTCAAGCCATGCTGCAAAAGGCTTAAAAATATGCTGTATGAAGTAACTGTAGCTGCCAAATTCATATTTTGGTGGATGAAAACGCAAAGGGTGACGCTGCTTCGATGTTTTTGCCATACGGAAGTGGCCGTGTTCAAATATAAACTGGGTTGGAAATCAAGACGCAGTTATTATATTTAGAATAGAAAATACAATTAGTGTCAAAAGTGCGTCAAAATGACTAGAAAAACTAAGTGATTTCTAAAAAGCCTACATTTTTGCATCTACTGTATACATCTGTTAGAAAGACAATGGGATGTGTTAAGAGTGAACAGAAGTGTATTTGTATTTGTTTTTGCAACATCTGCAAGGTGGTTGTGCAAGGTTACCAGTGTATGTGGTGAGAGCAATCAATCTAGACCAGGGATGGGCAACTTGGATGGTGGTGGGGGCCACATAATTTATGTACTGGCCACCAGGGGGTCGCAGATTCACTTGGAACACACACACACACACACATTCCATGTGTTGTATGTAATTATTAACAAATATACTAACTCTGACATCTTCATTGACATTTTACAATCTTTCAAGGAATATCCTCTAATAAGCTCACTAAACAAATATCAGTTCACAGAAATGTTATTTAATTTTTACGTGGCATGTTTGTATTGAACAGGTTATTTAACAGTGGAATAAAACTATTTTAAACTATTGGAAAGCACGGAAAATGTGTGTGCATTGAGATTAACCATTAAGATGACATAAACATGAAGTCATGAACACTAACCCAGACATTAGTTGTCTAAATTGAACCTAAGACACTTGTAGCCTGTCTCTGCATTCCCCTTATTCCACAATAAGGGGAATGTCCACACAGACACCTGTCAACCCGCACTCTGCTGTTCCTCAGCGCCGCTCCCCCCCCCCTCCCGCTGAAATTATGAATGTAAAGCGTATAGTAATCATAGATAACACGGCAGGGTCTGTGACAGTTTGTTTTCATCTGATTTCAAATAAACAAAGTCTTGGTTTTTAGAATATTAAACTTGTTTCGCCAAATTCAGATGATAAATACAACTTTTAAGCTTGTAAAGGCATAATTACAAGCGGTAACTTAACGTCACAGCTGGCATAACAACAGCCGGTGTTTCTTGTGAGTGTTTCCCCGGGAAACAAACACAATACACACAAACGCGTCACAGATTATTTTGCGGTATTTAGCTGCCGAACGAAATCATGTACGCATGCGGCCCCCGGGCCGCCATTTGCCCATCCCTGATCTAGACAATGCATGTCACTCAAATTGGAGATGTATCACACACTGACTGCCATCAGATGGTAGTAGAAGGTGTTAATCAACTGAAAGGGAACACAGACATATATTCAGGCTGTTGTTGATGGCAGATGCTGCTTAAAATCCGACATGAAAATGTACTTTGCCTCGCGAGCATCATTGGAATTGTATTTATGTTGCTAACAGATGTGCATGCTGGTCAAATAATGTATAATGAAAGGGAAGGAGACAAGCTCTCAAGCATAAATAAAATAAATCTGTTATATTCCAAATGTTTATGTGGGTGTGATTGCACCAACTAAAGTGGTGAATACAAGACAAAATACAATCCATGCATACTTTGCTGTTGATCTGAACCAAATCAGTTAGAAAGGGATAATGCTAGATGCTGCAAATCATTAACCAGAATTGTAGTAAAGTCATGAAGGTGTCCATTAACCAGAAATAAGTTAGCATTTTACCACTTCCAATTCCCTTGTCTTGAAGTCTACGGTTGCTAACAAGCAGCTGAATGAGACTATTAAATATCATCACGCTGACATTAGCCGCCATTAGCTTAGCATTGTTTATGGCCTAACGTTAGCTTTTTACTTCTAGCGAATGAATTTCCGCTTCAAAAATCATAAAAGTTGTATTTTTATGTGGAGATTGTTCTGCTGAACAAAACTTCTTGGTCGAACAAATGTTTGTTTGTCACTGATCACATATTCTGCTATTTTATCAGGGACTTTTTTTGGAATGCTAACTTCTTGGTGCATCACTGCATCCCTACTGCACTAAATCAGCCAGTAACTTCATAATAATAATAATAATACATTTTATTTTGAGGCGCCTTTCAAAGTACACAAGGACACCTTATAATTCATAAAATATTCTTGAAAGGAAACATCTTCTTCCAATGCAGCAAGCCAGCAACATATGTGCTAATAGTAATCATTTGTGCTTAGGAAGATATGAAAATATATTCCTAAACAAATCCAGTTCAACCTAATTTCTGCAAGAAAGCCTTTATTCAACAAAAACCTCACATGTGAGATTGAATTTTACTCGTCCTCTCGTAGGTATATGGTGTTTGATTCGATGTTGTTTGATATTGTACCACCAAAATGCCTTCTCTGCTGGAGAGCCCACAGAGAGCTACTACTACTGAAGGTTTGCCTGATCATCCAGATGTCAAAGTCTCCCACTGTTTTCAAAAATCCATTAAACTCTTAAATAAAACTCCCGCTACCGTGGTGAATGCAACTCATCATTTCAAACGGCATGTGTTGTATAATTCTGTTCTGAAATGGCTTTATACCACCACCACAATTATCAGTTGTTTCAACAACGGTCCTATTATACTAGAAATAATTTTTAGTTTATGTTCATCACTGCCACCGTAAAAAAAAGTTGTCGTTGAAGAAAGTTACAACTTCAAGCTGTTGGATTTATGATACCACTAAGAGACATATTTGCTAACTTTTTTGCTGAACAGATGGCAGTGTCCTCTGACATGCATACATCACAGCTTTGACACGCTGTGGATGGAGGGTGTAACAAATTAAATTGTCTAATCACAACTAATTCATCTAACTGTGATGCCAAAAATGTAGGAATAAAACAGTATATTGGAGGCAGTTCACAGATAGATGAACACACCAATAACTCTTTTAATGTTCAAACAATGTAATCAAACATAAGGGGTAAAATTATTTAAGGGATGTTTTAGTTTTTGTTATGAAAAACACAAATGTAAAGCTCTGATTACAAGGATAAATTGATAACAAAATTACCGGTTTTATTCTATTTCTGCCATACTTAAATCACTTTCATTTGGATTGAGTGTTACGCTGATGACTGCCTATTGTACAGTTTGAATGGGAGTACTCACAGTGGTGGGGGAGCTGCATTCACTGACTGATTGGCACGTTTCTGAGGCCTCTGACGATGCTGAGCTGGACGACTTCTACAGCAAAACAACAAAAAAGCAGAAAACATAGTAATGATTTGCCAAGACTCAATGAGTCAGTGTGAGCGTTGCATCTGTGAAGCCTGAATATATATGTTTTTCCCAAATGCCAGTTAGGTGAGATCATTCCGGTAGATTTCCAAAATAAGTCCATTATAGAAAGTAAAATCCTGATGTTTTTATGCTATTCCAATTCATGACTGAACCCCAACATTTTAAGAGGAACTCCCCCAGGAGGGAACTTTGGGATTCAGCCTTAGCAGACCATTTACAAAAACCTATACAGTATAACACACTACAGGGAAGGGAAAACCCCAAAAAGCAAAACAGAGAATCTTTAATAATTTGTTTCTAATGTCTGCAACCTGATGTCCTGCTTCGTCTTTGTATGATTGTGTGGAAGTATATTGAAGACAAGGCATTTTAAGATAGCATATTATGTGTGTATTTTGGCTTACCTGGCTAGTGATGTCCGAGGGCATGGGTGAGGGGGGCTTGGAGTAGATGTTTGCATCCTGGGACACGAATCCCGAGTCGTGGGAGGAGACGCTGCTGAGGCGGTGTGCCGCTATGCCCCCCGGTGGTGGGGGTTGATGCGGCAGGTTGCTGCGGTAGCGATAGGAGGAGGAGGAGGAGGATGAGGTGGGTGAGTGGGGCTGGGAGCCTCCACCGCCTCCACCAAAACCACCACCACCGCCTCCCCCTGATGAACGGGAGGCACTACTGTGGGCGCTGTTGACGCTGCTGCAGTGGGAGTTGGGAGGGTAAGGTGCAGAGGAGGGTGGATTGAGGGAAGGGTGAGGAGTGTGAGGGGAGGATGTGAGGAAGGTGATGGGTGCCATTGTGCAGTAAGGACAGTATTTAGTGGAGAGCATGATTAAAGTGAGGGTTTAGGAAGGGTTTGGTTATTGGGAAAGATGATGAATTGGTGATAGGAGGATTTTGTGGTGGTGGTTGATCGGTGAAGTTGAGGAGTAGTCGTTGATTTAGAATGTTAGCGATGAGATGGCAAATTTAAGTCAGTCACAGTAAAAAGACCCCAGAAAAGAAAGGAAACCAGGGATCCAAGAGAAAGAGGGCAGATCACACGAGTGCACACAGACAAACGACACAAATCGAAAAAAGGGAGAAAAATACAAGTACAGTCAGAGAGTGATGGTTATAGTGAGGGAAAAGGGGGGAGAGAAAGGGCGAGAGGGGTGGGAGAGAGAGTGTGTAAGCTCATGAGGATCCAGGGAAAACACACACACACTAAACACTGCAGGCAAAAGGCTGTGAACTTGCATGCTTCTGAGCTTTGCCTGCGACTACATGCATAAACTGACAGAGAGACGTATACAGTGATGTTTTTCAGACAAAGAACTACAGAAACACATTGCTTAGTTTACAGTATTCTTCTTGTATTATTCATTTTGAATTGTGAATTTGCACGCATTTTAACCCCTAAGAAAAGCAGATATGCGCGTATGCTGATGATATCTGCTATTTGTGGCAAATTAAATATAATTTGTCCACTTTTTAGAAGATTGTTTCTGTGTCTGAAGGTGGTTTGTGGTTTATGTAGAATCCCATTAAGAGTGATGATAACTGGACACACAGTAATGATGTACTGACACATAGACAATAGCACAGTAAAACACAAACAGGGAGGCTCCTCTTTCTTTACAAAAAAGTATTATCGAGCAACCATAAGATGTTGGTAGTGTATGTGTGTACATATGTGTGTTTGTGTGAGTACCTGCACATGCTGCTCTTGCGGGAGCAGGAGCTGCTGGGGGATGAGGGGGGGGTCTGATAGGACCAGCTGTAATCCGACCCCTTAAGGTCCTTTATCACCTGTGAGAGAGAGAGAGAGAGAGAGAGAGGTTTTAATCTCATTAGTTTCTTTCCTTCCAGCACGCACGTGTGTTTGTTTGTGTGTCTGTGTGTGTGTTACCTGTTCACTAGCTGGCGGCAGTTTGTGAGGATCAGTTGTCAGCACAGTGAGGTCATCAATGATGGCCTGGAGGTGTGTGATCTCTCCCAGCATGGCAATCTCTCCATTCTATAAAACATGATTGAAATGCACTGCGCTTGTAAAGTAAAAAAACACTCATGAGTTCAAGGAAGAATACAAAGGAAAATTCAAAAGGAATTCGGTAGAAACCACAGTGCAACTTTGATGCATCATCATTTAATTTACCGTGATGTTTTTGGCCACAATCCTTGTGAAAAGTGTGAAAATGTGTAACTGTCACATCCACTGTTACCATGGGAGACTAACACACACCTGTGTGAGATGAATTGCAGTATGTTGCCTCCCAGTGGAATATGTGTAAAGTGTAACTTTTAGTATTTCTGGATCACACAAGCCTCATTTACTTTGAGCAAGGCACTCAACCCCAATCTCTCTCTGCTGCTCAGCAACTATTAAGGTCCTTTCACACCGAGCCGATTTTCGGCGTCGATAGATGTCGGGCCGTCGATGAGCGTTCTGTCGCCCTACTCAGATTGGTGTGTACTGCACCGTCGTGTCTTTTCGGCCGTGCCGACACCTTCCGCTGCCGATTCGACATGTTGAATCGGTAGGCCGTCGGCTAAAGAAATCAATCTGATTGGCTGTTCAGCTAGCGAATCAGTGCATGAGAAGCGAAACGGAAGTGAGGGACCCAAACAAACTATTAAGAAGGCAAATCTGAGATTTCATTTAACTCCAGCTCTCGACACAGGTTCGGGAAAGCCCCATGAGCTTCTCGCTGTAGAGTGAAAATGGAACCCAGACGCTATCTGTTGTTTGTTTATATCACGCAGTCTGTTCTTCTTCTCTCGGTTATCACGCAGTCTGTCTTCCGGTTGTTGCCTCTTTTGAATGACGAATACACACTACCGCCGCCTGCTGGTAAGGAGAGTTATTGCCACTCACGCATGTGCAGTTCGTACGTGCAACTTGGCCGTCGGCTGAAGTATTTGCGGTGTGTTCCAGTGCGACACATGGCCAAGACGCAGGAGACGTGAGGCGACGTGAGGCGACGTTCTGTCGGGACGTGTTCTTTGGTGTCAGTTTGGTGTGTAAGGAGCTTTAGACTATAGCCCCCCCCCCCCCCCCCCCCCCACTCACCACAACAGGCTGCAGGAAGCCGATGAATGTGCAGAAGCGCCCCCTCTCCTCCACTAGGGCGCGGCGCACTGCCTGCTTCTCCATCTCCTCCATCAGCAGACACATGTCAGTCACATCCTGCATGGCACTGTCCAGCTGGGGCTGCAGGTCCACTCGCCCTGCAGGGGGGGAAACACATATGATATAGAAGAGATTGAAACCAGCAGCTCAGTGGGAAGATGAGGGTAGAAGACGGGAGAAGAGAGGTTTTTGGATGTGGGTGAAGTAGTAGGAAAGAAGATGATGTTGCAAACAATGCAAGTGGAAGGTGTGTGTAGGAAATGTCACCATAGCATACCGAACACAGGGAAACAAGGTAAGCAGCAACATCTTGTTTGATATTTTAATCCAATGCTTATAAAAGTTACATGGAATCCATACCGCTGTCTATCAGCTTTGTTTTGATTTCCACCAACTGCTAAATATCACATGTAGCTGGCCGCTAACTTTGTGTGTCCCCTGTTTGGTGCTGGCATAATAACATATGGTGGGTTATGAGAGCCCTTTCACTTCAATAATTAGAGCTTTGAATAACCTTGGTAAAACATGATGTATAGGCCTACAAGTCTACAACGGCCTGTGTTTTTTGTTGTAACTAAGACTAGAGTCTAAATGTATCCATAAAAAAAGCTATGTGCACACATAATGTGTGAGAGTGTGCACATCTCCCGTAATAACAACACAGAGCCAAAACACAAACGATGTGTTTCTTCCTAAAAATGTCACTTGCTGTGATTGCACAGAAATTCATTGATGACAGAAAATGACACATAAGTGGATAAGTATGGTGTAAAACATCTCAATCCTACCTACTGTTAACAAAAACTAGTGCAATCCATTGAAAGTCAGCCATGAAATATATATTTGTAGTGTCACAACATGCAGTGAAAGAGAGGACAAGAGACGAGTGGCAGCATGAGAGCAAAATGAAAGCCTGCGGTGTGACTACAAAGATAATAGCAGAAGTCATGCAGAAGTCAGAGAAGAAGATTGCATAACTCAAAAAACTGTAGAAGCTGAACTCTGTCTGTCACCAGAATAAAAAAAGCCCTTTAAAACTCATGTGTTGCAACTACAGTAGTTTGCTAAAAAGTCATGGTAGCTGCTTTCACATATGTTTTCAAGAAGTTAACTTTTAATATGAATGTGCATTACATGGAGCTCAGGGGCCATAAAGAGTGCTTTGTTGTTATAATATTTCTTATTTTTGTATTGTTCTACTCATAGGCTACGGTAACTGCACAATGGAATGCACTTACCAAACATGGGTTGGTCTGCAAATCCCTGTCTGTAGTCATTAAATCATAGCTGTGTGCTCCGCAGCTGTCCACAGTTTCGCAGCATACTTTATGTCCTTTCAGGTATTTCTGCCGTACTCATGCAATTTATACTTCTGAAAAATATCTAACTGATCCGGCACTGAAAGGATATATTCATCATCAGTTGTTTCAGGCTGTTAACATATGTTGGTTCTCTAAAAGGGAATGTATTTAATGAAATGATTGGTCTGCTGCAATAATACCTTTGTATCCTCATCACAGAATAATGATGGACTTCTTTATGTCCCAAAAAGCCCATAGAGAAAAAAGTGCATTTGTGTATTCTGAGTATAGAATGTGTTGCAGGAAGATATTATTTCATTGATCTTGCTATGTGTTACATCCAAAATACAAAAAATTGTAAAAGGCTGATTTATTTTAGTCAATGTTTTATTAAATTCAACTTGTAACAAAACTGCTTCTTTAACATATGTGTGATAATTGGTTCCTTTTCATTTTTGTTTCCCTTTCTCTTTTCATTTGTGCTGCTGCACGTCTCAGCCAGGTATCCCTTGATTTCTTTCTTATAACCTTGATGAAACATTCCTGGTTTAATGAAGGTTAAATAATAAAGGAATTAAAATAAAGACCCAACTTTGAAGAGAAACATATTGGTGAAAGTGAATGTGTTTCAGGAGTTTTAATTACATGAACCAGGTTGTTTTATGGGTTCGTTTTAATCAAGTTTAATTTTCTCAACCCTTTTCTTCAACTTGTAAATACATGGAGGTGGACAGCTCGAGTAATATGTTTTAGGGTTAAATGGGTGAGCGGGGGTTTGGATTGGTCTTGTTTCCGGATTTTGAGGCCCAGTGATAAAATAAAGATTCAAGGCTTTTGTTATTTTGGTTTATATTTAAATGTATCCAATTTTTATTGTATTTTATTTTGTTACGTATTCTTCTTTCTGTGTCTTTGTATGCACCACATATACCAAAGCAAATTCCTCATATGTGTAAACCTACTTGGTAATAAAACTGATTCTGATTCTGTGTTATTAAATCATGCTTATTCATGTAACCATAGACTTATTTATGTTGACCCATGGTCAGTTAATCCAGCCCATGTCCATTGCTCTCTTTGTCACCTGAAGTCAACTTCTATGGCTTTTCCATGTTGTAAACAATTCCCTAATATACAAAGAACCTTTTTGATCACCCCTTGTATCTCTAAAGTAATGATAACCACAAACTGTTACACGACACACATGCTAGTAAGGTAATCTGCAGGAACAGTCTGAATGTGGGTTAAACAGGAGATAATGCAGCAGATCTGTAGCGAGCGATACTTACCCTGGATCTCTATTACAGGGGGACAAACACCACAGGGAGGGAGAGACAGCGAGACGGTAGCGTGGGGGGCGTGGGGGGGGGGGGGGGCAAAAAGGAAGCAAAATAAGGAAAGAGAAAGGGGGGAGAGAGAGCAGACAGAGCAGAACTCATTGTTAGGGTTAGTATAAAAGGAAGCCATCAAGACAGCCACAGAGCCACAGGTTAGAGCAAAATAACACAACTCAAAACATCCAGAAATAATACATGAACCAAGCATCAGCAAACATACAAACATAACTGAGCTATTATCCTGTCAGTTTCAGCAAATGTTGCATTATTCAATGTTTTTCTATTGACACATATTTTATTTAATGTATCACATTTGATTTATTAAATGTTGCATTAAACAATTCTAGGGGTTCCGGATGAAAATGGTCCTTAGATGATACATACAATGATTCTGTTTGGTAAAATACATATTTTTAAAGCTCAATCAAGAAGTTATCTGGATTTAAGGTTTCTATTTCTGTCATTTATGTGTTACTTTTGCCTTTACTTAATAAATAAAAAATATATAAAATAATATAGAAATACATTATTATTACTACTACTAATAATAATGATACTAATAATAATTCCACTAAGATATGTATCACATTTCAATCATTACATTTTTTTAAATATCTTAGGATGCGCATAGTTTCAGTCCTAGAGCTCTATTAACCGAAAGACTAATGTATTAAACAGAAAGACATTATGAAATGTACATTACAGACATAATGCATTTGTGTATTGATCTGCCTGGCAACTAAATGAAAGCTGGTCCAGAAAAACATACTTATCATTGGTTGTTTCATCATTAAGTGAAGTGTTTCAGGACAAATAAGAGAAGACCTGCAATACCACTGATCACCACTAGATGTCATTGTAAACCTACAGCTTTTGTTATGTGCTGCAGAAAGGCTACGGTTCTTGACCTCGGTGAATGACTCATTCTCTGTGTGTGTGTGTGTGTGTGTGTGTGTGTGTGTGTGTGTGTGTGTGTGTGTGTGTGTGTGTGTGTGTGTGTGTGTGTGTGTGTGTGTGTGTGTGTGTGTGTGTGTGTGTGTGTGTGTGTGTGTGTGTGTGTGTGTGTGTGTGTGTGTGTGTGTGTGTGTGTGTGTGTTGGCACTGAATGCAATCACTGTATGTTGTCTGTTCTTTTGTTAATGTATCATGCATCCATATCAGATACAAACCATAAATCATCATTTTGGATTTTTGGCCAAGGGAATATTGTTGTTGGTGTGGATTTACCATTCATTAGCAACAGTGACACCATCAAAGAGATAACAGATGTATTAATGAACTCAGTGTCCACAAACAAAGTATAGGAGCAACACATAAACACCATTGACAGAAGATAATTGATGTGGTCTTTGTAAGCTTGCAATAAAACAGATTGAGCTCTACAATGTGACTTCCTGTTGAATGTGAGAGGAGCCGGAGCTCTCCTGCTGACCGTTACCTTTACGGGCCTTCTTCTGCAGCTTCATGGTGTCAGATGACTTCTTCTTGATCTCGTGGCGTGACCTCTTGTACTCTGGAGACGGGACGAACAGAGATGCTTTAGTAGCAGGAATGTAAAGCCCTCTGTGTGAACTCATATTATCTTGCTTACAGAAGCTATGAAGCCAAGAGCTAACTGGTAAAGACTTTGCATTGGTTAGAGCAAAACATACTGATCCTTAGAGATTACAGTCAAATCATAGCCTTGGACTTTGTAAAACTTGAATGGACCAAACGATTAAACATTATTATAACATTATAATAATAACATTATAATAAACAACCTTGGCTAATAATTCTTTGCAGGTCTCCCTTGAAAAAGAGATCTATGATCTCAATGGGACCAATCTGGTTAAATAAAGGTTTGAAATGAAATGCTCAAAACCAGGTATTTATTTATCAGTTATTTAGGCTTTTTTCTTTTACAACAATGGTATTAGTAAAGTGCGACTTAACCCTAACCCTAGACCTTCCACTCCATGTGACTTTAGAGTTTTGACCAATACTCATGTATCTTGACCAGGACTCTTGTAAAATACATGTTTAATCTTAATGAGACTCTTAGTTGAATAACGTGATTGTTCTGGATAATTGATGAATAAGGAATCTACTGTCTGAATACAGTATACTTCACTTCCAACCAACCTTCAAACATTTAAACTAGAAGGGCAATCTCTGCTCTTGAATCAGGTTATAAGTATTTTTGTATTTCTGCTGATAAACGGTCAAATAACCCTAACCCTAAAAATACTAGTAAGCCACAGAGCAGCACCTTACAAGACATCACACACTTTTATACAATATATAAAGCAACTTCAGTTGGGTGGATGCTATTTGTGCAATGATGTCATGAATTAGCATCATAACCTGTGAGCAGTGTGTACCTTTGGCATGATCTTTATCCAGCTGGGTGGCTGTCTTCTTCCAATCCTCAATCTTATCCTGGAGAGGATTGATCAGACTCTCCATCAAAGCACTGTGAAATACATTGAAGAGATTGAGAGACAGTTCAAACACAACATTAATAACTGCTGCTTTGTTTCAATCAAAACAGTCCTAGGACAAGTACTTGTATTGTGTGGTGTCTTGACAAGAGTCTGACTTCAGTTATACTTTCTATGTGGTGAGTTACGAAAGTTTGCTATGGTCTGCATCACGTATATCTCAATGCTATATGCTTTACTATCAACTTAACATGTGTGCAATGCATCTTCCACCCAGACAGTATAAGGAAAAGCTTTGGTGTAAACAGTAGCAACATCGTATTCTGACGACCAAGCACCAAGCACCAAGTTTCTGGAATGAGATCCATACACATATTTCTGTCAACGTGCAAAATGTACACAATGGTGGCACATTAGTGCATTGGAAAATAGAGACCCCAGTCATTACCATGGTTATAGATCAACATCGTCATTATCATCACCATCAATATAATAGTTTGTGCTGTGGAAAAGTCATAACAGAGGATAGAGAATAGAGGAACAAGCAAATGATGGTTGTAAACAGACTGTTGGTGAGGTTTCCAGAGTGGTATGTGTTATGGGTCAATGGTTGGAGTCACCTACTGTACAGTGATTTGTAATTAGTACAGACAGAGCAATGATCCTAATGGAAGCCATACATCTGACAAAGAACCTCCCCAAGCTTTGGCCCAATCATAACACAAAATAAAAGGTCAGCATTGGATGAGTTCTCTTAGACTTCTGAAAAGCCTTGATGGACTACAGTGTAAGGTCTTCAAAGAAAGGAAAGGAAGCAAATTTAGGAGGTAAACAAGGAGATAAAAAGTGAGAAGGAAAGAAATGTATCTTACTTGGTGAACTGGCGCAGTTTGGCCTCAATGCTGCGATGCCTCATGCACATCCTGGTTAGAGCTGAACCAATGTCTCTGGTCGCCCCTAGAAACACAAAAAGCCATGTTCATATGATGATACACATGCACATACACACAAAAAGATGCTACCTAAGAGTTTCATTGCACATTTACAACCCGATTTTGTTCCACAGAAAAAACACAAAGCCACATTCAATATTTACATTGCAGCTATTTGTGTGCTTTGTAAAGTAAATGCTGGTGAAAAACAATGTATCCTTCAAACAGATGAGCAACTACCAAGTATCCTTTTACATTCAGCCAGTATTTACACTAGACCCTGATCTGCTTCGTAGATACTACAAACACTGCCTGCCTCATCCAAATAAAGTGGTGTCTCGTGAGTGTGTTTGTGCGAGAGCCCAAGCGCCCAGGGACCCAGATTTGTGAGCAGCTAACCTGCAACTGTAAACACAAGTCTATTTTAAGAGAGAGCAGGTCTGTGTGGAAAAAGCTGACCCTGAAGTTTAAGTCAGTTTAAATGATGGCAGAGACTGTTAACTTCCAAACAAGGTGCTCCAAACTGACACTGCTGCTGTGCAGGTGGAGAACCCACAAGAAAAATGGGATGAGAGCTTCACTCTGATGATGTGCACATAAAGGCTTTCCACCAGAGGTAAGGCTTATATAGTATATCATCACTGCTGAAATGTACACACTGGAACATTCAGATTAAACAGCAGCCAAATGGGATTTCCTCAAGAGACACTGTTTATCAGGAGAGCTTAGACAGGCTTACATAGTCCAATGCAGGGATTGCAGAGTGAAGAAAGTTGTTATTCCAAAATGTTATGCACCAGATTAATATTTTCTTCCAAAACTGCAAAAAAATCTGTGTTTGAAAAAAAGGAGTTGATCCATTCAACAAATCCCGTATAAATATAACAGCTACAGTGACCACCAGTGACCACAAACAATGAAACTGTCAACGTTCTTTATATACTCTTACAGAATAAATTAGAAGAACTTTGTGACATCATCAGACCAAATACTGTTGATCATGTCCAAGTACTTCCTAAATATGAAAAAAATAGCATTTATTCTAAGCTATTTGTATTTACTACAAAATATTACATGGCTTGGTTGAATACTCAATTCTGATTGGTCAATAGACTCCACTTCAATTATCAAGACGTTTAGAATGACAGTTCAAATGCTCTCATTCTAAACGACCTGAAAATGGATATCATTTGCATAATCTCCTACAGTAGATTTTGAAAAACAAATACTGGTAATTCATATGAAATGTTATTTCCCTACAAGTCAGTGCATACCCATACACTGACAAATGTAAAACCACACACACACACACACACACACACACACACACACACACACACACACACACACACACACACACACACACACACACACACACACACACACACACACACACACACACACACACACTTACTCTGTGTGTTGTTCACATCCACAGAGAAGTGCTCCATTCATAATTAACAAATTCCTCCCTCACACCTCCTGTTTTACCCGGCAACCATTCATTAAAGCAGAGCCACCCTCCCCCAAACACACACATCAACACACACACACACACACACACACACACACACACACACACACACACACACACACACACACACACACACACACACACACACACACACACACACACACACACACTTTTATGCCGTCCGTGCATGCCGATCAGTTGCAGTATTTTGTACTGTGTGTTGACGGTGGAATCTAATCCTAAATCAATAAGCACATTTTGAAGTTGATGTAGAGAAAGAATGAAGCAACGTAATACAGCTGATAAGAAGATTGTGTGATATTTTGTATCCTAGGAAAAGGAACATTAGGAATTAAATGAGAGAGGAAGAGATGAGAAACAACATGAAGACGAGAGGGGTCGCCTCACACATTTTAATGAGCTCACTGCTGGCGAGAGGAACATGGGACTGCAGTTACAGCCAAGTGTGTGTGTCTGTGTGTGTTGTGTGTGTTTGATCTTGTCGTTTATGATGGTTCTCTTCCTGTTTGTCTGTTATTACCATGCCTCTCAGACTCCACGGGAGATCAACAACTTAGATGAGGGGCGGCACAGAACACACGCTTCTCACATCTGGAATACAGCTACTGTGCTTGTTTTATGTGTGTAAGTCAGTGTTAATTTGCATCAAATTTATTGGAACACAAAAGGACAGGAACAGCCCCCAAAAAGGAAAAGTGACCACCTTTTAAAGAGAAGGAGGGACTCCCTCCTGGGAAATATGACTTTTCCTTCCTGTCCCCCTCATTTGGCCCGACCAAAAATCGCTTTTAAATGTGCTTTATAAATAAACTTTGATTTGATTCACTCTCTCTTTCCTGCTTTTGATGTGCTTCCTGGCTGCAGAGCTCCCAGTGAAAATACATGTGTTTATGTATGTGTTTGTAAGAGGGACCCACCCGATCAAGGTACTGAACAATACACTAGTGCTGTAGTTTCACAGAAGTAGTATAAGGTATAATGTTGTATCGCATATACATGGTACTCATCCATTGCAAAACATCAATTGTACTAACAAGTAAGCTACTTTTGTCATATAAGTAAGTTTAGCGTTGACTCTGTTCAACCAAGTGGTGTGCTATTTAGAATATCAATAGAGAAAAGGGAAATGTTGCATTCTGGGGCGGCACTGCCATCTTTGAAGAAAGGCGTCCATAGCAACGGCAGGATCCACAAATATCTATCAGCTCTCAGTCATATGTGAACTGTTCGACATCGTAAATAAATAAAGTATGTACCAAATAAATATCCTTGTCGACATGAGCATAAAATGGGTAATTGTTCATGAAATTCTTGTTCAAAGAATCGTAACTTTTCTGCGCCTCTCTGTTATATGGAGTTGGTGCCTATACACCAGTCAGCAATTGAAAAATTGTACATCTTTGAAGCTCATGTCTAAATTGCTGAAAAGTGGGTATTAAGGGCCTTTAAATCTATTGCTCAATGACAACAAAACAAATATCTGGACAAAGGTAGCACAAGAATGCTAACAAAACAATGGCTTATCATGCATAATTAATTGACTACTACCTTATTCCATGTTTGAATTGTCATTCCTTTATTAATGGTCTGTTTAACTGTAGTTCAGCGATTCATTTTGACATTAAGCAGTCATAAAATGGCTGCCACCCAACGCATGCGGCGTCTCTTGCTAATGATGGCTACCTGGTCATTTGGTAAACTTTCCATGCTCGAAACGAATGAAACGTATACCCATGGTCCTTTATTTATTTGTGTACCAATGCAACAGTGCCTAATGACCTTGTTTAAAAGTTTAAATTAAAAGGGTTACTGCTACTTCTTCTGCCGCAATTGTTAGTCAACGAGTCATCAAAGATGGCCGACTTGCTGTTTGTGACGTCACATTTCCATTTTGTATAATACTGGTGCAGATAAGGAAGCAGGCTACCTGTAATAACACACATGATGTTTAAAAAATGACTGGATTGAATGTTGTGGAAGTCTGCCCAGAGAATGGCAAAGTCATAATTCTCCCACGTCACCTAGCAACCATCTTCAGTGACAGGTTTGTTACGGTTTCCATGACAGCGCAAATCTTGGCCTGTTGCTAAGGAGGGAATCCAAATGTTTGTTGCTAATGTCAAATTGTCTGCAGCTACGGAAATGAATGTCTGAACTTCACTGCAAGAGAGAGAATTAAGTACTCAAAATCACACACACGCACACACACACACACACACACACATACACACACACACACACACACACACACACACACACACACACACACACACACACACACACACACACACACACACACACACACACACACACACACACACAGTAACTTCACTGTCAAAACCACAAGAGGTATCAACGCAGAGAGAGTGGGGTACGGAAAAATCCACCAACACGCCAGACAAACACACACAAACATCGAAACATAGAAAATAGAAATGCAAGAAAATGTCTAACAGCTGTTCTTTAAATCTCAATAATTATAAGACATGTTAGAATGTCACATTCACAATAATCATCTAAAAACATTTCCCTTCAGCACAGATGCAGGGCTGCCCAGGGACCACCATATTCCAGAGTGATTTCAGATACCCTCTTATTGAAAATGGCAAACACATATACTGTATATGCTTTGGTATACTGTTGCTTTCCCAGGGAATCTCAATGAGCCTCTTTTAAACAGTCTGCTCTCTAATGATAACATGCTCCCTCTCTCTCTTTGCCTGGGGCATCTGTGGCCTTCCCACCAGTGCATCTCCATGGCAACTATTATCTATGATCTTGCAGAGGGATTCGTCAGCTTCTCTATCCTCATTGGCTGTGCAATGCAAGCAAACTTGCAACTACAAAAGTGAACGGCAGTGATGACCACCCCCTCAAATATCTCCAATAGACCTGACAAATATATACAGCATGGGCATGCATGCTTATGTGTGAGTGTGGTTATGAGTTTAGTCTTCATTCACATGTTTGGAGAAAAGATCAAAAGTTTTATCCAGGTTAGATATTCTGAGACTGTTTACGATTAGATGGACCTTTCAGATTATTAAATGACATCCATCGGAAAAGGATATAATTTAATAGAATGTACACATAAAGACACACACACAAACTGATGCATTCATGTTAACATGTTAAGGAGGCGTGTGGTGCTGTGGGTTGAGTGTTGGTGTTCAGATTAGGGGGTCACAGGTTCAAACCCCACTGCAGTCAGCATGTCGTTGTGTCCCTGGGCAAGACACTTCACCCCAAATTGCTCCTGTGGGTATTGCCCACAGTATTGAGTATGTAAGTCGCTTTGGATAAAAGCGTCTAACAAGTGACATGTAATGTAATGTTAACATGAAGCTTTAACCCTCTGAGACCCACATAGGACATTTCTATTTTTGTATATTTTTGTGTTTTGCCTTATAAATTGTCATTTATTTACACTATAATCAAGTTTTACACATCCCAGAAATCGGCACAACCTCAGCTAATGATATATGTCACTCATTAGAGACTTATATACACTATAATATTTGCCCATAAAT